TGGCATTTTATTTTGTGCTTAAAATAGCCATCGCAGGTCTGTCAGTAGGGAACTTATGAAAGCAGCCTCTTAATGTTGTAACCTGTGGGAAGCTCAGCTCCAACCCCTCCTGAGCTTCAGATTGAGCCTACCCATGTTTGTCCCGCTTTCTGTTTACAAAGCTTTGAAATCCAGTGCCAATGGCACATCGGAGGCAGCAGCCCTGCCCCTGCTCCAGAAACTACCAGTGACTCAGCCACGCTTCATGTGGCTCTATTTTGCACGGCAAAGTGGAACACTGTTTTGGCAACTCCAGACAAAACTTGGCTGCACCAGAGCTCAGCACAGTTATAAAACCTGCGGATACACGGGCTCCAAAACAGCGGCCTGATCCCATGGCTGCTGAAGGCAGGGAGCCCCGTCTGAGAGCTGCAGGCCTGGGCAGGCAGTGTCACCACCCTGGCCATGTGCTCAGCGCCCAAGAAGGCCTGGGTTTGGGTGGAATTCACCCCAGGAGGTCACCGGGAGCAAATGTGAACCCACTCAGAAAATGCCTCCATCTCCCAAACTGTCCTTCTGCAGTGGGATCAAGTTTCTTAAGGGTAGAAAGCAACAAGTGCATCAAAATCTCTCAAGAATTATCAGTCTCAAAGTAAATTACCGACTTTCTCAGTTATGACACTTCTTGAGATGGGACAAGGAAACTCTTTGTGATCCCTTCCTCCCTTCTGCCGTAGGAATTACTGAAGACAGCTTGGCAAGAACTTAGAAGAATTTAAGATACTTCTCAGTTGTCTCGTAGGAATGTTTTCTCCTCCTGTAAATTTGTTGTGATCTCTGCTGCAACCTAGGTCACTTAGCACTAATTTAATGCACAGTCGATCCTGATGAGTAAGCTAACAGCGATGCAAACTGTCCTGGTACATGACATGGGAACATGGATGAATGTGCTGAGAATTAAGTATGTATCAGCTGTAACCCACGGCATGCTCAAAATTTGGAAGTGATCAGGAAAAATTATGAAATCTGTTTTTTAAAAGAAAACCTGACAAGACATCAACCTTATTACCTAATCAAAAGAGTTGAGAAAGGGGAATTTCACGTTGAAGATGGAGTGCTCTGAAGACAACACTAGTGTGCTCTGTTTGGAGACGGTGCCTCACACCTAAGCAAAGGTGTCAGAACATGATGTCCAAATTCTCAGGAAAGAGGCAAAGACCTCAGTGGCACCACAGAAGAAGAACCTGAATCCAGTCAAGAGAATTGGTAACAGAAGCGCCCAATGTGTTCATCAAAAGAAGAAAAAGCAAGAATTGGAAGGTGAGTTTTTCTTATGCTTTTTCTTCTCCTTTTATCAGGAACCATCAAAAAAGCTGTAGCACATCAGTGATTTTCCCAGCTGCCCGAGGTTCACTGTCCATGGGATCTGTACCAGCAGCTGTGGACTGTCTGTACGTTACAGAGCTGGCCGGAGGGATAGGCTTCAGAAACAGCATTCTTCCACGCACGGCTTGTCTTCAAAAGAAATATTTACATAATACTGCCATTCCCCTGAGCAAAAAGGTCATATTAGCAACAGGAGAAGGGAGGGTGAATCCCACTTCTGCGAAAGCTTTTGCATTCTGCCAGCAAAGAGCTGAGGGTCTGCAGCCGAAGCCTGGCAGGCAGCAGGCGCAGCGCAGGCTCCTGGCGGCCCGCCCAGCAGCACGGCACCGCGCAGGGGCACGGCTCTCGGCCTGGGCTCGTCTCCTGGGGTTAAGAAGCTGCCCTTGATCTTGTTATCAGAATCTTATCTCCTTCTTCAACAGGCAGACATTTTTACAGGTATTATCTGTAAGTGGTATCACCATTACATGGCTGGCCACAAGAAAGAACGCCTGGCCGTTACGCCAGGCGATGCATAAACACAGGGCACTAACCCAAGCTGCTCACAACTCAACCAGAGAATGGGATCTACAAGCTGGTGTAACTAACAAACACATGGATACAAAACAGATAGTAGCAACAGGAAATGCTGTTTAGAAAGCATTGGAAACTACACGGACAGCTAGATTTTCTGAGCCAATCACCCCCTAAATTCATCTATCACCTTTGTTTCCATTACCACAGTAATAGTTCCCTCTTTGTATTCTTTTTAGATTAATCCAAACAGGCCTAAAACACTTTTTTGCTTCTGTGTTTTAATCTTAAAATCACTTTGACCCTGTAAGCTTGAATTTATTATATCAATTCTATGTCTCATTCTCAAAGCAGGTTATTTAGTTACCTTATAGGCTGCTGGTAATAATTATGCAATAGAGCACAAAGACAAACGGCTACGAGGCTGCAGTGGAACAAAAGCTTGGATTAATTTGTTAATGATACATAAGCACCACTGGCACCACCAAATACATTGCGTAAAAAGCTTTACATTAAATCAAGATGTGTTAATTCCTACTTTGCTTCCTATGCAATGTTTTAGTGCCTCTAAAAACAGGCAAATCCCTCCCCTTGCACAAGCCAAGGGGGCAGGCAGGAATTATGCATCTAAGCCCACACCACGCTGAGGACCAGTCCCAGAAGCAGCTGCTCAAGCCCAGTCCTGTATTCCCACCATGCCCTGTGGTCACAGGCAATTAATTGACCATGCCATAAAACGGTGATGAGGACTCCCAGGGAGAGAGCATCTTAGTTTGGTCACACTGGACCTGTCTGCTTCAGAGAAATGCCGGGGAGCCATCGGCCCCTGCCAGCGCCTGCTTTACAGCCTGCGTGTGCTGCAGCCCAGCCCGACACGACAGCAACACGCTGTTTTCCACTAAGAGTCGCTCAGGCAATCCAGCCCTCCTCTCTCAAGCCTTTGGAGGCGAACTTGTCAGCTAAAACTCCCCAAACCATATCCCTAGTACTTTATATAAAGGGCAAATATAAACAACAGCCCCCAAATATGCTAAGAAACAAAGAACGTGTTCATGCTTTAGTGTCATATATGGGGGAAGGTGTCTAACTTCAGAACTATCTATACCTGATCCAGACTTTGCAAGTCTTCCGAGGAGACCGGGCTGCCGCTGCCACTGCCAGCATGAGGAAGATGTGGAAATCTGAAGTGTAAAACTCCTTAGGCTGGCAAAGCTGTCGCGAGTCCAACAGAAGTGCCCTCCACCTACTCCCAACGAAAAGCTAAAAGACCCCATGTCATATAGCTAAGAGGTAAAACTTCCTTGTGCAATGCCAAGTAGGGAAGGATTGTAACCAAGCGCAGCTTTGGAAGCTAGCAGGGCTATACATGACACAGCTGACTGTCCTTCCATGAGGGAGCTTTGCTACAAAATGTCTTAGCTCCCACAACCCTCTTTCCTTACAATTGCTGCTCTCTGAGATGCTGGTAAATAAACTGCTGCCATTTGAGCTTCGGCTGCAGCAGACTGCTCATTGCACCGCTATTGTTGTAAATCCAAGACAAAATTGAAAGCCACAGTGAACAACGATCGATAGGCAGCACACTCTAAAGTTAGCGGAGATCTTGCTAGGATGCTACGCAAACCTGACAGAGAGTAACCTGTACGGCTTTAGCCAGACCACAAACAAGTGTTCCACTTTCCTTGTAACATTTTTAAATTGCAGCCAAACACAAAGAGGGACATAAACACTGTCACTCTCTCGCTTGCAGCAGCCATGCAATGCTGTATGAGCAATGGAGTCCAAAGGACAAGGTAATGGTGTTTTAGAAACTCTTATACGAGCTCGTACTCCATTGATTTTTGCTGAAGCCTGCTGAGTTCAGGCAGGCCGGCTGGCCTCACGGGACTGCTCCAGGGGAAACGGGGACACGGACGCGGCGAACTGAGCTGCGCTGCCGGGAAGAGGCGGGTACGGTATTTCCCACAGGAATAAGGGAGACAGCACTTATCTCTACAGCAAGACCCAGGCAAAATGTACCTGCTACCCAGATCCAACCCACATGACTGCCCGTAGAGCAGCACATAAGCCCAGTCCTGTTTTCTTTAATACAATATTCCTTACCCATGCATAGTGCTGCTGTATGGGCTTCACAGGCAAATAAAACTTCCCAACTCAGTCTGCTGCTCTCTAAAACCTGCATCATCAATCGATAGTGTTTGGATAGCAAAACTTTTTCAACTCTACTCATTGCTGATAACTTTGTCCTGGTTTGAGCAGAGATTTATCCAGACCCAACAGCAACACACACAGGGCGCACACAGCTCCTGTCGCTGATCCGGCATTCACAGCTGGACCCATTTAACCTTTCCTTGCTTTTATCCATTTTTTTCCCCGAGCCACTTCTACACAAAATACCCATTATTGTGTAGCTGATAAATACTGCACTGTCCAAATAAAAACACGAGCATTTCGGAGCAGCAAAACAAGCCCAGAAGCAAAAGTGTGATGTGTTTGTCCTGTGCTAATTTAAAGGGAAAATCTAATTGTCCATTTTAATCTTTGATCCCACTACACAGTGAGCAGGCAAGTATGAAACTCCAAAGATACAAACCCAAACTGAGGCCATACCAACCACCTGTGGCTGGGGTACATCTGAGCCGGTAGCTCATTGTTTCTGGTTTTTGTTTTCTTTTCTTTTTTAAAATTCAAGAAGAAATCCTTTCGCAGTCCTTTTCTCACTCCCGGTTTCTGCCAGCTGCAGTGATTCTCTCAAACAGTAAAACGCTCTGCTGCAGCGAAGGGTGGCAACGTACGCCCCGCTCTTTCGGGTTGCACGTACCTATCTCAGAGCCCGCTGATCTGATTGCTGAGGCTAATCCACCACGGAAAACTACTTCTGCACGAGCCCTTCTCACGCGCCTAAGCGGCTCCTCCTTTTCCGTGCCGCTCTACCTAACCCGCATCTTCTGCCCGTGCCCGGCGCGGAGCAGCGAGGCGCGTGCCGCGTTCCTGCCGCCCGCTCGCCGCCCGCTCGGCTCGGGGAGAAGCCGGAGCCGCTGCGGGGCTCGCCCGGCGCACGGCGGGGCCGGGTGGCGGGGAGCGCGCTGCGGGGCGGTGCGGGGCTGCCCGCCGGTACTCACCGCGCGTCGCCGTAGCCGCCGTAGCCCTCGGCCCAGGGCCCCAGCTCGCTCTTGATGCAGGCGGCGGGGGCGGCGTAGGGCGGCCGCCCCAGCGGGTACCAGGCGTCGGCGGGGAAGTCGGCGGGCTCGGCGGGCGGCCCGCGGCCGCAGGCGAAGGGCCCGGCGGGCGGCTCGGAGCACGGCCCGTACAGCTGCCCCTCGTCGGCGAAGAAGGACGGCCAGGGCGGCGCGGGGCCCGGCGGGGCCAGCTCGGCGCCGAAGCGGCACGGCGCGCCCCAGGCGGCGCCCGGCGCGGGCTCCGGGGGGCTCTCCAGCTTGATGCGGGCGGGCGGCGGCGGCAGCGCGAAGCAGTCGCGGCCCGGCAGCGCCGGCGGCTCCTCGGGCGGCGGGGAGCCGCGGTACAGGGCCAGCCCGGCGGGCACGTCGACGGCCAAGCCGGGCTCGCCGCCGCCGCTGCCCTTGAAGGCGGCCGGGGCGGGCGGCGGCTCCGGAGGGTCTTTGGCGGCGGGGCGCGGGGCGCGGGGCGGCCCCCCGGGCAGGGCGAACATGCAGTCCTCGCGGGGCAGCAGCTCGCCGGGCGCCTCCAGCGCCTCCACGGCCAGGCCCATGGAGGCGGACACGGCTTTGCAGAGCTCCTTGGCGCTGTCGCCCAGAAAGTCCTCCTTGGGCGCCGGCTCGGCGCGGCCGGCCGCCGGCTCGGCCTCGGGCGGCAGCAGCGGCGGCAGCGCGCCCGCCTCGCCCAGCAGCTCCTTCAGGTCGCCGGCGCACGGGAAGGGCGAGCCCATGGCCGGGCGGGCGGCCGGCAGCGCCTTGGCGGCCCCGCGGGGCTCCGGCAGCGGCAGGAAGGCGGGCGAGACGGCCGGCGGCGGCCGGGGGCTCGGCGGGCCGGCGGCGCACGCCGGCGCCTGGTGGCTGGTGCCCGGCTCTTCCCGCGGCGCGGCGGAGCCCGGAGCCTGGAACGCCTCGCAGACGCTCTGGAAGAAGCTCTGGAAAGCCCCGCGGAAGGTCCGGCCCGCCGGCCGCGGGTACACGCGCCCGATCCCCAGCTGCACCTCCATGCCCGCGGCGCGCCGGGCGGCGGCGAGGCGGGGGGGAACGACGGCGACCCCGAGCCCGAGCCCGAGCCCGAGCGGCGGCCCCCGGGCGGCCAGCCGCGGCCCCGGCTAGCGGCGGCTCTGCCCCGCCGCTGCCATCCCCGGCGGAGCGGCGGGCGCGGGGCGGGGAGCGCGGCGGGCGGGATGCTCGGCGCCCGCAACAGGCGGCGAAAGTTGGGGCCGGGCGGAGCGGGCAGGTGCGCGGCCCCGAGCCCCGCCGCTGACTGCCGCGGCTGGCCGCTTTTGCTCTTTTTGATCCGCGGCTCGGGGAGAGCGGGAGCGAGAGGCTGGCTTGCGGAGGAGAGGAGGTGCAGCGAGGGAGACCGCCCCACGCCGCGAATTCGGCCCAGGGTCTCTGCAATGATTAATCCGGTAACTCTCGCCGCGGAGGGACGCGGCGCCCGCCGTGCCCTGCCCTGCCCTGCCCGGCCCCCCGCTCCCCGGCGGGCGGCGGGGGCGGCGAGCCCGAGCCCCGCGGAGCCGCAGCGCCGCCGCCCGCCTTCGCCGCGGTGTCTGGGCTCGGCGCCTCGCCGCCCCCGGCGCTGGCCCCCGCGGGCGGATCGGGGTCGCCGCCGCCGCAGCCCCCGGGCGAGCGCCCCGCGGCGCGGCACGGCCGGGGCGGAGCGGAGCGGGCGAGGGGGGGCAGCGGCAGCCCCGCCGCCGCTCTCGCCCCCCGGGGCCGCCCGGTCCTGCCCCGCTGCCCCCGGCCCCGGCCGCCCGCGCTCCGACGCTGGAGGATGCCGGGGTTGGGCTGGGCACGGTGTTGGTTAGAGCCTTGCCCGGGCTCGGGTTTTACGGGACCATCGCCGAGGTCCCTTTCGACCTGGGCTTTCCTACGGCTGAGGTTCACCCAGAGGAATCCCCGCGGCTGGGGGGAACTCGGGAAAAGCGGCATTCGCTCTGTTTGGGCACCGGCATGGGGATCAAAACTTATTCCAGCCGGGCTGTACTAAGGTGGTCTTTTCAACTTCAGTACCTGCACAGTTTTCACCTAAACAATTACAAAAATACGTACATAAAAAATAAATAAATAAAGTGCAAAGGCCCAGGTCCTTGGTTTCACCAAGAAACAGAATGGCTGTTGTGCTGCAGTCAGCGAGTAGCAAAGGGTTTGCCCCCGCCTTCCTCTGCTCCCCGTTTTGGAACAAACTCCACATCCACCAGCAAGTGACAGCAGGTGCTCCGCTCTCACACAAGGTCTTAAAACAGACCAAAGAGCTAGCAGACATAGTTAGTGTAGGACCTACTGTAAACAAGACTTGAGCTCCCCTTACTGGCACTGTAATAACAATCCTAAAGCAACTCTTTTTTCTGGTAGGCACCATTCCCAGGAAACCTTATAATGGAACTATACTCATCTGACATACATTGAAATAAGCCCATTAATTTCAACGTCTTTGGAGACAGAGGGAGAAAAGTAATGATTTGTTGCAAATGGAGAAAATGGAGAAGTGGAGCCAGTTGGGAGAATGAAGAATCATGTTCAGTCTTTTAAAAGCATTTTTACAAGCCATGGAAGATAGTAAGGAAAAAAAAAAAAAGGAGTTATAGCCAAGCAAAATTTGGCAATGACCTCCATACTGCCTGAGTGGTAAGCACACCCTGCCTCCTGTGAGCAAAGTAGATGGAGGAGGCAACCCCTCAGTGTCTGAGGTGATGATGGCATCGGTTCAGGCCCCCCACTGCTCCCCGTGCCTGCAGCAGCAGGGCTGAAGCCTCTTTACAGGCTTACAGTATGGATGAAACACCAAACAACCAGTATAACCCTTCAAATAACAAAGAAACACAGCTGAAACCTCAAAACATAAAAATGGAGGGAGATGCTGTAAAATATGGGCACAGCGTGTATTTAAACACGTAGATCTCAGCGGTCCCACCTGGATCACTAGAGATGGGCCCAGCTTGAGCTTCACGTGGGCTCATCAGCCTGCTGGGCTTGAGACGTGGCCCAGAACCTCCAGCCCGGTGACTCACGCATTGCCTGGCCCTGCAACTAACAAAAAACTGCAGCTGAAGGTATGAGGAAAGGTAATGCCACGGGATGGGATCAGAGGTCTTCCAGATGGATGCAAAGGAACCAGTAGACCCAAGGGGAATTTCATGTGGCTGAGTGTCAGCTGTGCTACAAGCTGTTTTTCGGGTACCCATGTGGGAAAAAGCCTGCATGTAAGATACGTTTTCATGGGTAGGCTTGTGAGAGAAGTGTTTTCCTGCACAAATAAGCCTATATGCATTCTTCCAAAAAGCTGGTATAAAGCTTTAGTTGGATTTTCTGAAAGATTAGTACCAATAGTTCAAAGAACTTTTTTTTTTCCTCTTTTACGCAGATGAGTGCATGAACTTACCCTTTGTAACAGCTACACAGTAATAAAGGCCTAGAGTTACTGGAGAGCTGCTCAGCACTTCAGAAATGATGGCAAATAAGCAGGAGTAACAACCAGTCGTATGATGGTATCCCCTGTAAAGGATAGGGAAAAAAAAAAAAAAAGAAAGAAAAAAAAAGAAAGAAAAAAAGCCACTGTTCTGAAAGATTTGCTGTTGCCACAAATCCATGCAGATACCTGCCAAGTGGATGTGGATTCCGGTGTCTTTGCTCTTTCAGCGTCAAATAGTTTTCAAGCCTCTGGAGTAAAATATACAGACTCTGGAAGACAACGAGGGGAGGATTCACATGATTAGTATCAAGAAATGTATTGAAGAAAGCTGAGGCTCAGAGATGTGGCATAACATTGCTTAAGAAACAGCTGGTTTTGTGTTTTAGACCAAGAGCGGACTATTCGCATGTGTGATTTCAATAAGCCGTGTGAGAACTGCGTTTGACACCACCGTGCCCACCAAGAAGGAAGTAGCTTCAGTCTGTATGCACTGAGAACACCAAGGGCTATGAAGACCTAGATAGAAGTGAGACTTTTTATACTGAAGTAAGCTTTTCTGTACGGGCTTGGATATATTTGTGCCTTTGCATGTGTATTCCTGGCTTTCTGCTTTTTGGGTTAGTGTTTGCCCTGTTGCTCGTGGTGTTCTCCCGGCTTCTTGTGTCTTTGCAAACTCCGCAGATGCATGTATTTTCACCCAGTCTGAGGTTTGCTGCCTGGGTTTGCAAGATGTTAATCACAACAGACGTGCATAAAGGAAGACTGCAAAATGCTTTATGTCCTTCTCAGTTTACAGAGCCAACATCTTAGTTTTGACTTACTGTCTATTTGGTTAAGATTAATTATTTTAGAGGCACTTTTGTGATTAGACCTTCACATAAATTTGAAGAAGCCGCTCTGTCTGTCTCTCTTTCTCTCTTTTCTCTTTCCTCTTTCTTTCACTTTCTTCCTCCCTTTCTTTCTCTCTCTCTCTCTCTCCTCCACCCCCCCTTCCTTCCTTTCTTCCTTTCTTATTTCCTGAAAAGGTATCCTGTGAGCACCTTATTTTCCTGATATTCACGTTTCTTTTTAGAATTATTAACATCTAATGGGCTTTCTGGGTGTGTACGTGTATGACTGTGAACCGTATTTTTTAAAGGCTTCATGTATTTTAATCATTAGTCTTGTCTGAAAGAGAAACAATTGAACTGCTATTGCATTTACAATGCATAGACAGCATTTTATTTGCAGTTACAATCTTCTTAAAATGTAAGCCTTCAGCATTTCAAAGTTCTTTTACAATTTTCATTAAATCTTTCCATAAAATTACTTTCCGTAGTTTAGCAGTCAGCCACAATATCCGTTTACATCTTAAATTCTGAAAGCTGTATTTTAACATAGTAAAATGGGACACAGTTTATGGAAAGTCTATATAAATGTATATTTTTTTCTGTATGTAAGCTAAGCTTTATTTTTGATTATCAAATAAGTTAAAAAACAAGCAGCAGTATGATCCTATGTATTTTTCAGAAAAGTGCCTGTCTCTTAAGTGAGTCTATACTTTTATGTAGAAAGAAATTAAAAAAAAAACACGTTATGGATTGTTCACTTGGACCCTTTTTGTGGCTGTCATAGTGCTTGAGGCTAAGGTATTTATTCCTTTTCCTGCATTATATTGCTAACACATTACGGTGGGCTGGAAGAGCATTTTGTTTGGCTTTAGAGTCTCACAAATACCAAAGTGTTCTTTTTAATATACTGGTGGTATTTTGTTCTATGAATTAAATCTGAGTTTAAGAATTATAATTAATTACTTTCTGTGATGTAAAATAACTTAAAATAAGTAATTGGGGTGGACATGTACATCTAAAAGTACTGCAGCTTAAATTGGATAAATATCCTTTGTGAGACATACAGGCACTCAATGGCTTTTATAGAGCAGAGCTGAGACAAGATCTGCAATCTTCCCTTAGTTACTTGTTTTTCCAACCAGCCAATACCTGGTTTAGATAGAAAAATAGCAGAGTGAAAATATATATATACATTGTTTCTCAAATCAGTTTCATTGTAACTGAAGCATTATTTCTATTGCAAAATAATGACTTGTGAAATCCAACATGATGGGTTTATCTGAACATACGGTAGCATATGTTCATTTAGGTTGTCACAGCTTTGTGCTAAGTGAAGAAGTGGGAAGGAAGGGAGACATTACCGAAGTGTTACCCCCAGTGGCTCAGGGAGCTGGTAACATCTTTTCCGTGTGCTGTGTAAGCAGACATTGCCGAGATGCTTGTCTGAGTGGTCCAACAAAAGCCTGCTGCCTGTCAGCTCTGCAGAAGATCTCAGAGGTACACCAGCTACCTTGGCAAGGCTTTCCTCTCAAATTGGGGGCACTTTAAAAATTCACTGTCTCCATTTCGGTTTCTGTTTGGTTATGAGGAGGCACAACTATGAGCCTGTTTTGTTATTCAAAACCTGAGCAATGTCACATGACAATACATGTCATGGAGAGATGTGAACTTTTGCAGTGAGGGAGAGGAGTGAAGACATAGAAATAAATTAAACATTTCAGAAATAAAGTATGTAAAGTGCATAAAATAACACTAAGAG